TGGGACCACATCGCCACCATCCACATCCTAAAGGAGAGTGGCCTGAAGGGGTCGAGCATCATTGGGGCCTACCACGCAAGGAGGGTGGTGCCATTGATGATGCGCGTGCTCCCGCTATACATGATGGCGCCCAAGGCGTCGTTTGATGGAACGGCACTCGCCGAGGGGGCGCCCCCAACTCCGAGATCGCGCAGTGCATCAAGGAGGCCATGGAGCCCTCGCAGGATGACGCGGGCACCCCCTCGATTTCGTTTACCCGGTGTTGGGACATCCTCCAATGCGGCCATAACCAGGCCATGTTGTCTTTGTATGTTTTCCCTTCTCATGCCTTCTCTTCAATTGATTCCTCGACCTCTTGATACTAACTTTGAGAGGGATGGGACCAGCTGAGGGACCTCATCTTCATGGATCACCTAACTCTGTTGCCGAGGGATTCATCCATGAGGGCGGCGAATCGCACCGAGGGTGAGCGGTTGAGGAAGGCGAAGGAGGACAAGAAGAGGAAGAGGCAGCGAAAGCTGCAGGCGCGGGAACAGGGGAGGACACCGACAGCAACGACGACAATGATGATGACATAGCCGATGATGTCAAGTGGGACATCCTAGAGAATGAGGATGTGCTGATAGGTACTTGTTCGTTCTTGTAGGAGTCGGGACACTTTCTATTCCATGGAAGGGAGGGTACGTCCGAGGAGCCAGTGGAGGCAAGACGTACCGTCGGACTCCCTCAGGAGTCAATAGGGGCGGGCGGCTCTACCGTCGTGCCTAAGATGCCGGTGGAGGTGGGCGGCTCCGCTGCCACACCCCAAGAGCCAAGGGGAGTGAGCCCCTCTGCCCTGGAGTAGGGGACAGGCTCGAAACGGCCCCGTCCCGATGAGGCGGAGCAAAGGTCGGGGGGTTCACTCCCAAACATATCTGCCACCCGATGGCGTCGAGGTAAGTTATTAGTTCCCCTAGTTTCTCTCTTTTGAATGGATTTCATCATGACTTATGCTTTTTGTCCCTTGCAGTGTCGGTAGGCAGTGTAATCCTTTGGCGCCGGCACCGAAGAAGAGCGTCGCCCTTCAAACGAGGCAGCAACCGTCAGCTAGCGTCGTGGCTGTTTTCGGGCAGGAGCGATGCCAGTGTGACTGCATCACCGTCTGGTCAGGTGCTACCCATGGTGGCGCCCATGCCCTTAGCGGGACGGGCAGACGCGGGGGCTCAAGGGATGCCTTCGGAGGTCGCAGAGTGGCTGGCGATGGTGGCGATACCGCTGCCGACGACGGGGTGGACGGGGCTTCCGACCATGCTCGTGGCGTTGACTGTGGCAGGCGAGATGCAGCTGGTTGGGACCCCGCTGACACAGGTGGAGGTAGCGTCGGCTGTGACAGGCGGGTCACAGCCGGGCGCTATTGTGGCAGCACCTGAGGAACCGGCACGCCCCGTGCCATCGGTGGCCTTGGTGACGGCGTCTGGCGTGGGTCGAATGGAGGGGGATGCGACCGAACGGTCCCCAGAGGTCGTGGTGCTGGGAGAGGGGCCAGCGTCCATACTGCTGACCCCTTCCATCGCCGGAGGGAGTGTCCCAGTGGGAACGTCGCGACGAGAGGTGTCGATGGCGCTTGGAGCCAGCGGGGAGTCATCCCTAGCCCTGACGTCGGTGGGTAGGGATTCACCCGCATGGGGTGAGGCCCTGCTCCGGTGGACAAACCCATGGGATCCAGCGTTGATGCTCTTCACCCTCGACGATGCAGCCAAGAGTATGGAGCGGGAGAGCCTTGACATGGGGATCGTGTCCGTGCTAGAAGCCTTGGACCACGCCAGGGGTGCCTTGTGCAACGTTGTCGTTCCCTCCAGCCTGGTATTTGCTAGATCCTGCTTCTCGCCCTTTTCTTTCTCTATACATTTTTGTATTTTGACCGTCGTCTCCTTTCAGTCCCTTATCGCTCGCAGCTGGGGGAAGTCTCGGTTCCTTCGTGAGCAGAAGGAAACCTGGGACCGCCTCATCGAGGAGGCGTGGCTACGTGGGGAGGTGACCACTCAGCTTGTTGCTGCCCAGCAGAGGGTGGCCGAGCTGACTCCCCTTGCCGAGGAGGCAGACAGTCTTCGGTCGCGGGTGGCCGATGTGGCAGAACCACCCGAAATAGCACACTTACGGAGGCGCTAGTCTTTCACCAGACACTAAGCACCCCACAAGCAAGCTACAGCGGCGGTATCCGTCGGGCACACCACCAGGGAGAACCCGAAAGATCCACATTTTTCCCAAGGATCCAATAATGAGAACGAGTTATAATACAGGTCCATTTCATACATAAGAGTTTCTTAAAACTTACATTATTACATTTCCAAATATCAGAGTGAGGAATGATAAACAACGCAATTTAAAATAAACATCTATCGATAAGAACGAGGATTTGTATGAGCCCACCAGAAGAATCCTCCACACAAAGGTACTTCTCATGCATCACCTGCAACAGGGGTAAATAAACACTGAGTACACAATGTACTCGCAAGACTTATCCGACTAGTGGGAATAATTTCCCGACTCCAAGGAATGTGATAAGCTTCATGGTTTGCTGGTTTTCTTTTAGCAAAAAGCAATACTAATAGTGAGTCCTTATTTATGTTATGATTATCAGCCGTATTAAGTTATTATCTATCCAGTCTATATAAGCACCTGTTCTATATAAGCACCTCTTCTTCTTTCAAGTTTCAGTTCTTACTACGATGCTAGAGGTAAGACAAGTCGTACCGACTCGGCGGTGATTCATGAACCAATGTGCCTAGCTGGGTGCCCCAAAAACACACGTCCCGCTTGTACCCCAGGCACAAGCAGGACTAACCCATCACCCTCCTGTCCTGGGTGTCCAGGTCTCCATCCAAATTTGGACTCCAAGCGCCCACTCCTGAGTCCTGGACTCAGTGCGGTGCAAGGACCTCCACCGTCTCTGCCTCCAATCAGTCGGTCCGAAAAGAGCCAGATCCACAACAAGAGAGCAACAAGTCTTCCCTGCACCCATACCCAAGTATGTGCTTGGAACAAAAGATCTGTGACTTGCCTAGCGTCCATTGTAATGATCGGTCCTTAACCAACACGGACAGGGAAAAAGTGTAACCAAGCCATACCCTGTTGGCCGCAGGACACAACCCCTTACACCCACCAGTACCCAAACCATATCCCTGCCCGGTCACCATTTTCCTGTCCATCATTTTATCATGAGTGATCATATTTATCACCTATTTACGAGTAACGGCAGGTTACTCACGCTACCGATATCCTAGGCATAGCAGCTACTCGACCTGTACTAGTAGGACTCATAGATAGATATATTTATGCATGTAGTTTCCATAAAATGCCTATAACATAAATGCACATCATAGATATATATTCAGTGGTCATTTAAAATAAGGGTTATGCACCGGGGCTTGCCTTGGGCAGGCGGGGTGTCAGCAAAGTCAGTGATGGGCGGCTCCGGAACGTCCTCTTGCACGAAGATCTCCTCCTCATACTCTTCGACGACTTCGTCGCACTCCTGCTCGCCGAAGGTCACGATCTCCAGTGGCTCGTTCTCTATATGCATGCAGCGATGATGATGCAATAATTAATATTTAGGCACCGCAACTCTTAAAATAAGAACACGCTTATCATGCTAACAAGCTAGCTCTACTGATCTCATACCAACTAATTTCTTAAATGATTTCATATGCTTTAAATTAGGGTATGTTAGCTACCTTAATAAATTAGCTATTCAGAGGCTACAAAAATTATAGAGAGCATATAATATTATCATGAGTCTACTATAAAATTTTCAGGGCTAGCATTTCTACCAATGCATCACAAAAAGTCATTCCCTAAATAACCATAATAATAACAAGCAACCTAGAATTAATAAGTAACCCTAAAACCACTACACCACAACACCAAGATTAGCGATGGACGGTCTGACGCTAAAAGCGGCTACAGCGACAGACAATCTGACGCTAAAAAGTTATAGCGTCAGACTTCTACAGACGTGTAAGTCCTGTCGCTAAAAATCTTTAGCGTCAGACAGTACTTTTAGCGTCAGATAGTCTACTGCCCTGAATATTTATAGCGACAGATAGTCCATTGCTATTTTTTAGCGACAGATAGTCCATTGCTACTTTTTAGCGACAGACTATGCGATGGTACATATGGTTTTAGCGACAGACAGTCCAACGAGACAATTTTAAATTGTTAAAAAAATAAAAATTAATCCATCAACAATTGTCCACAATAATACAAATGTCACTACACAACTAAGAACAAACATACACTAGTGAATGGCGCGTGCCATCGCGCGCCTACACATATATATGTATATTACACATGCTGATGTTTCCAAAGAGCTTATGCATATTTATATTACACATGGTACTGATGGTACTGCTTGTTTTACTTGTACCTAAAGTAATACAGTTTAGAGTACATGGCCTATATAATACACAAACAAGAGGCCTAACAGGTTTGTGTTGACCTGTTGCAAAAGTAGATATGTAGTTACTGAGCTTTGCAATTGGCGGTCTTTGTTTCAGGTTTGGAACTCCCAAGTCTTGGCCTGCATTGTTTAGGACATATATCAGGATGAGGACATAGACAGCCTGAAAATCTATGTATATATGATAGCCTGGAAATCTTTGCGAAAATCTCTGGGAAGAAGCTATAAATTCAAAAGTGTATAAATATGTTATGAAGGCCTACATAAAAGTACATATGCATTTTTAAGAAAGTATGTAAGCAACAGTATCAACTTGAAATGAATTTCCTAGAGATCGATACCTCTCTGTCCTGCTGATACCTCTAGTGTGATCCTTCAGAAAGCCGAGTAGAAACTCCATCTCATCAGGCTCTAGAGGAGCAACCTTGTTTAAGCCAACCCAAGCGAGATTCCATTTCCTACACTCCAACACCAACTTCTGAACTCTTGGAGGAGGTGGATCTGAACTGTTTGTAAGGGTTACACGAATCTTCTCTAACAGTTTTGCACTAGACACACAAGTCTAGAGACAATTGAACTGTTGTCTTGGGTCCCATGATGGCCACCACCTCTTGGTACGAGGAAATGCTGTGGATATTGTCCTTGGAGGTTTAGGGAGGAGAGGTGACCTGTTCTCAAGTGGCAAATTGTGTATATAACCTCTTTTCCTGGCAGCAGCACAGAAGTACTTCGAGTCCACAAACTCCAGCTGAATATCATACAAGAATCTTGATATGATAGTCCAGACACCTTTTGGAGCAAGAGCAACATTCTCGTAGTAGAAGTATGGTGGACCCATAGCTTGTGAAGGTAGATCTCTGTTCACTGGTCTTGGCCACTGATCTGGCAAGCTAAATCCAACCATTGGATTTGGGAGCGGCATGGGTTCATCATCGCTACCATCTAATGGGCCTCTACTTCCCTGTGCTTGACCTCCATATCTCTTTCTCTTTTTTTGTTCCCATCCATGAACCTTCCCTTGTTTATCCCTCCATAGGAATTATCCTGCAGTATTGCAAACACAGTTCCATTATCAGACCATTAAATTAGAACTAAATCTTATTACAGACTTGTATGGACAGTTCTCCTAAGACGAACCTCATAGTCAGACAAATTGCCACAGTAACCATCTCCTACAGTCTGTGAAGCATATATTGAATCCACCAGAACAAAAATAGATGCATCCAGCCCTAAGTAATTTTAAACCACAGACGACAGTGCATGATCAGTGAACCGGGCATTTGGAGCATACTTTGACAAGTTCGAATAATAAAACTCTGACGATAAGTTAAAATAAAACAGGGACAAGGACAAAATCTGAGTGGTACAAGTTGCATGAAAATGCAAAAACAGTTTTATTTGACAGCATGAATCAACCATTCCAAGTTATCTCAGTTCAAGATTGCAGCCAATTTACGAGTTCCAACATACAGTATTTGAGGAAAATTTTCAAAATCTAGAGATAAACCAATAGAAAGTTTGACATAAAATTAAAAATGGCAATGTTATTATTCAACCGATTTATTCTTTATAGAGCATATCCTACTTTCAAGGTTGGAAATTGATGTTTATTTTGCTCAGGAATCTAAAGACAAATAGAGGAGCATGGAACAAAGGTTCAGAGAGCACACCGCATCTAGTAATAGCCAGTGCAACCTCGTCTTCAGGAAACCCCATTTTAACTAAGAATCAATTTTGTCGTCCTTATGTGACATCTCATGTAAGAAATCCTGTGAAGAAAGCACAGAAAAGCACTGAGAATACAGTTGACAAGCTACATAAACTAGCATTGCAATTACCTTCTCCAAAGGACAAAAACAACAATTCTTGTAATGTGTTAAAAAATGGGAAGTATCATAACTATGGACTGCATATGCAAAAGAACATACTGCTACCAACAAAGAAGCCAATTCAATGCAAAACCGAGACAAGCAACATTAGCATAAACGCAACATTAGCATAAACTGAAAACCATGTAAGGATAGCTCAAACAACATATAGGAAGAGAAAAGTCTCAGCAGTGAAGGACAAAGTAACAAAACTCATGTCTAACTCTTGACTCTGGCTGCATAGAGTGACCGAATTGAACTTGACAGAAACAGATAGCAGCCAACTAAAGTTGGTGATCATTACATTTTCAACAAGAATTTTTTAACAAAAGAACACACAAACTAGCTACTGATTCTAGCCAAAGCTGCACATAGCTGCACGTGTGATGCATCCTCAGAATTGCTACCATACATACATACATTTAGAACTAACAATCTCTAATAAATAGCTAGGAACATAACCGCTGCACAGAATCACCAATCGCCACCAAAAGAAATTAAAGAAGCTTATTTTTCAGCACTTAGCAACACTTTATGATTGCTGACTGCTGACTGCTGCCCACAACAATTTCATGAAAGCATATACCTTCTGTAGTGCAATGTGACACAACTACACTACCCCCTATGGCACCAAACAAAAAACCCATGTCACAAGTACTCAAACCAGACCACGTCAATCTATCAAGAGCACACTTGGTCAATACAACACTCCATAAGCTCTACCGAATGAAACAGCTTAGGCTAACTTGATTGGAAGTACCATGTCTCATGCTAAATCTATAGATTGTAAATTCTTTGTTGTTAGTTAGAACTTCCAAGTTATATTTGTTAATTTCTAATAATGCATTCACTTGGCAATATAGAAACTTTTTTAGAAAAATGTGATGACACTTAAAATATTGTATGAATTAATTATCCAATGTGTAGCAAGATAAGACCAGATAACCAAATTTTGAAATGTACACCATCTTTGGTACAATATAAGGTTAACTTAGAGCCTAAAATATGAGATGAACTGAATGGGAGAACATAGGTTCATGTCACTTCCTAATTTAGTTGGCTTACCTTATCAATTTATTTCTCGAAATGGAACACAGATCCAACCAACCTGAACCAAAATATAAACTGTGTCAAGGGCATCACCGCTGCATGGTTCATGATGAATTGAATAGCATCTAGGCCTGAAAGTACAAATGTACCATACACAAAAACTATCACTAGACAAATCATAAATGAACAAGAGAACTATAGTATAGTCATTCTGTGTTGTGAACATACCGAGAGTGTCATAAAGTGGCACAGATACATATGAATATGCAGAACAAGCATGGTCAACTATAACCCACTCAGGTCTATTTATAAAATACAGACCAATGCATGCACCCTGATTCCAAATAGACATGTGGTTATACCTGTAGATGAGAACCAGCGGGCTGGCATGGGGATCTGCAATAAGGACGCCACATAAGTATGCAGTTAGCAATTTTAATGGATGAAAAGGATTAGTATTTTGGCCCTACCTTGTAATGTGTGCCCAGAGATGCTAGAAGTGATGGCCTGGAAAGAAATCATACTTCAGAAAAACAATATACTTCATAAATAGAACCATATTCCAACAATCATCAGCTGCAAGTAAATAAAGCATGTAAGCTACACACGTGTTGGGCTACGTTCACAATTTATCAGTTAACCCTAGAGTTAAAATTGGTGGCAGCATAAGTTCATGGAGTGACAAACAACTAACACAACAGTAGAAAACCGAACAATCCCTTGAGGTAAAGTCTACAATGATATACCTCGTGGACGCACATCTGCCCGCCTCTGCTAAGGAACCCCTTGCCCACGACAAGCTATGGGCAATCAACATTACACATCGTCAAATAGCTGTCTTGAAAAGCATCAAAATTTGTACAAATTCATCAGCAGCGTTAATCATCTAAAATCTTACCCGACCAGAAGTGCACGTATGTTTGCCATCTTCCCAAGCAAAACCTCCGCAGCAAATGATCCCTGGAAGAATGTGTCACAAAACAAAAGGGGCAGCAAAGAGGGGTGGTTTTCAGTTGGGCACGAAAAATATTTTGTGGAATACTACAATCTCTAACAGGGCCACGCATGGATGGGTGGATTGGAACATTAGTGGCAACAAACACTACGGTGCCACACAAATCCACACCGAAACAAAAAATCTAAATGGAAAGGAAGGAGGTTCCAAATTTGACCCAGAACGGAACCAATCTCGTGCTTCCAACAAAGGAATCTGTCCCCCCATTCAAGCGAGCCAGGACTACCAGGAAGGAAGAGATAGCTACTCACCGGGACGGACGGATCTCCAAGCCTGCTCAAGCGAGAGAGGAGCATCGGCCGTCTATGGAGGATCCGGAGGAGAGGAGGAGGACTACGGTGGGGCAGAACTGGGCGAAAGGAGGGTTCGGCGGTGCCGAGTTAGATGCCCCCCCACCAATGCAGACGAAGATGAGCAGGGGAAGGGAACCAGCGGTGATGCGTAGGCAGGGAGCCGTCCCCAGCCTGCACGCTCACGCCGCCGGAGGGGGGATGGGGGGCTCATCCCGTACTTGCCTACACCGCCAGAGCAGGGGAGTAGGAGTTCGTGGGGGACTGCATGAGGGAGAAAGAGAGGGCAGTAGGGTTTCGACTGAGAAGAAGAGAGCGTTGTGTTTGATTCATCATTTCGTGTATCTCGGCAGTGGAAAATCGATCAGACGGCGAAATGCAAGTATGCTCCGAGATGGGCTGAGACGGGTTGAATCACTAATGGGCTAAATGTGAAATTGCTTCATGAGCGAGCTAGATAGAGGTGGGGCACGCGAGCTCAGCCTGGGCCCATTTTCTTTAGCGACAGACAGATTGATGGTACACTTGGCTTTAGCGATAGATGGTTCAACGCTAAATATGAATACCTATAGCGACAGACACTAAATCGCTAAATGAGGATTTAGCGTCAGATGGTCTCTGAGTTATCTTTAGCGTCAGATCATCCATCGCCAAATATAATTTTTAGCGTTAGATGTCTGATGGTGAAGCGGTGTTGTGGTGTAGTGAACATCGTAGAACCATACGAACAAAATACACTAACAGATAGATCAGGAATTTTGAAATCTAACAAAATTTATTTCACAATTGTCGATGAAATATGGTCGGTAGTCTACCTAGGGGTGTGCCCAAGGTAGTAGATTATCGGCAGACAGATGCGCAAGCTACAAACAAGACGGTGATGCAAGACAGACATGAGGTTTTATCCAGGTTCGGCCGCCGTGAAGGCGTAATACCTACATCCTGTGTCTGATTGTATTGCTGTATGTCAATGAGAGATAATTTTGAGAGGGGTCCCCTGCCTGCCTTATATAGTCTGGGGAGCAGGGTTACAGATCTGGAAACTAATCCTAACCAGTTATAATTGCCATAGGTGGCCGGATAAGGATTCCTATTCTAACCGATCAGGATCTTGCTTGACCTCCAAGTCTAGCTTGATTCCTTGCGCGGGACTCCAAGCAGATTGGCCGGGCCGTGCGTCGTCTTCTAGTGGGCCAGACTCCCTGGTCCGGGCCAGCCCTATCCTAGCCGTAAGGGTATAGGGGTTAATACCCCCACAGCTAGTACCCGAGCTCCATGTATTATGCTGCGACACGCCGTTCGATCTCCTTCGGCTAATGCGATCCGTCTTCATGTCATCTCCAACTGGTTGAAACATTGACCAAGCGAATGTGCCAGTATTCTAGTCAGAATAGAGAGCAGTAGACCACGATTATAGCCGAAGATTCCGGTTGTTCGAAGAATGCATGGTGCTCTAATGAAAAAAGAAAAAGATTTCTTTCCAGATAAAGTGTGCCCACTTGTATTTCTAAAAAGAAATGTAAGTGACCCTTGTACAGTAGCAGTTATGGCCAACAGTCAGAGCGTAGGGGTCGATAAAATAAGCACATTCACCGTAAGGTGAAGTGTGACCACTTAGTCCCTGAGCCTGGTAGTAGGTGACGCAGGCATGTGGTGCCAGGGTCTAAAAAGAATTCCCAATTAAGTTGAAAATCTAATC